CGCCTGCCCGCTCTCCCTCGGGGCGCGCCCGCTGCCCGGCCCGCTCCCCGCGCGCTCTCCGGCCTCGACCAGGCTGCCGCGGAGTGGGGGTGACAGGCGGGCGGTGTTGTGGTGCTGAGGAGGCAGCACGTGTGGCAGAGTGTCTTTCGGGCTGTCACCCCTGCCGGCAGGGGATGGCGCCGGGACCGCTGCTGCGGGACCTGTCAGGCCCCGCGCGGTCCGGCAGCGTTCACGCCCCCCGCGAGCGGCCAGGGCTGAGATCGGGTCTAGAAGCTGGGCGCGGAGGCTACCGAGCTCTTAACTCCACGTGATTGCATTGTTAACTTACTCCTCGGCTTCTGTTTGCAGCTGATGGAAGCGGCCAAGCAGTCCATTGGCAAGCTGCTCGTTGGTGCCGTTGCAAGTTTTTAAAGTTTCTAGCTCTTTAAAAAGAGAGCGCGAAGATGTGTTTGGGGGTGGGGAATGGGGCCCGGGATGGGCTGTTGGAAGCCAATTGCGCTCTCTCTGGCCGGTAGTGCACTTTCTCCGAGTTAGGTTCAAGTCCACGGAGCGTCACTTTCCGCAGACCTGGAGACTGCTGAAAATCCTGGCCGAGAAGACAACTAGTGACTGTCATTCTTTTTCTTTTCTCTGTTCTTTCACCTGTGAGCTTAATCATTTAGGACGTTCCCAACTTCTTAAACTCAGGTTGTAACTTCTCTTGCGGTTTGTCGTTAATGATTAGTGAACTTTCTTGGAATAGTACTACTGTTTTCCAGCCTCTGAGACCCTTACCGAGAGGAAGCAAAACTCCCTCTGGGGCTTCTTTTTAGTCAGCTAATTTTGAGGGGAAGACTGGCTCAGGTTCTACTGTTTTGTTTTAGCCTCTGCTTTCGTTTTAGTTAACAGTACTCTTTCCAAACGTCAGTTAGCTTGCCTTTTGCTTCTAATGTCACTTTTAAGAATAGTTGCTACCAGAGCAATTTTTCTATTCTATTTTCTATTGCTATACCAGAGCAGTTGTTTATATTGTGATGTAAATATTCTTCTGAATAAGAGCAGTTCTTTAAAAAAATCACTTTAGTAAAGTTAAACTTAGTTTTGGAGGCAAATGAATTATTTTAGGCCAGAATTCAATATTTTAGTGCTTTTAAAAATGTGTACTGCCAGATTCTTTTTGTGTGAAAGAATATTGATTGATTTTGACCCAGAAAGGCAATGTGTTTGTATGTTTGTTTTATTCATTAATGTTCATTTTGTGACTGCAATCTTGAATTTATATCTTTATCAGATTGATTTTTCTCCAAGATTCACAAATAACCAATACAGCTTTTTTCTGTTCTAGAAATTTGATGTGAATGTGCCTTTGACCCCAGGGATTCTTTGCTTTTCTTATTTCTAGTTCCTCTATAGATTGTTTATAAACAATTAGACAGTTGTTACCCCGGTATATGGATATTCGTGTCTTAATTTGGCTTACCAGAAGTTAACAGTCTTAAATTTGAGTGAAGTCGGATTATTTTCGGCCTTTTAAAGCTTCTTTACATTAGACTATTTCCAGTGTTACGTTCATCTGCATTTGGAAAGTTTAAGGTAATAATATTGTACTTAAATTATGAACTTGGTCTGTGAAACTTGAGTTTGTATTTCTTTTAATGGTTGACTATTTTTTATGTTTTCTGAATGTCTTGAAATTTTGAAAGATGAACAATTCAATCTTACTTTCATTGCAGGATTCTTTCTATTAATCCAGATACTTGTTGAAGTGCTAAATAGTTTCTTGGGGAAAGATGTCAAGGAAGCCTTTCAATTTATAGATTGGTGAGCAGAGATTGTAAAGTACAGGGTAGCCAGCACCCCTTTGGTTAGTTGTAGTTGAGGTTCATTCATAGAACATCTCATTGTATTTCCTCGTGTCTTTGTTACTCGTCTTTTCTTAATCTAATTGTTTACATACATACTCCTTTAGGAATGTTGGTAGAAGTGTATTAAAATTCTTAGGAGTGCTCAGTAAACACATTGCTTTTTGATTGCTTCAAAAAGGCTAGGATGTTTCAATTATCTGTTTCTAAAAATGAACTTTGCTAGAAGACTGACATTGTTTTAATTACTTTTTCAGGCATAAGATGTGCATTTTCTGCTCTGAAGCTGGGAATGAGGTCTGTGGACTTCTTACAACTTTGAGAAGAGACCTATGTGTGGTGCTATTGAAAACTTTATTGGGAAGTTTCTGAAGTAAGAGTGGGAAGGCATTCTATTTTGTGAAAGGAGGAAGGACTCAGGCCAGAAAACTTGTATGCTATGGTTAATTGGTTCCCATCCTCCGAGAATCTTGTTTTCCATGGTGTGAAACTTACTGAGCATCAGGATAAGGGATAACGACTCTATGGATATACAGAATCCTTCACCATGGTAAAACTCGCTAACCCGCTGTACACTGAGTGGATTTTGGAGGCCATCAAAAAAGTGAAGAAGCAGAAACAGCGTCCTTCAGAAGAGAGGATATGCAATGCGGTGTCTTCATCCCATGGCTTGGATCGTAAGACTGTTTTGGAACAATTGGAGTTGAGTGTTAAAGATGGAACAATTTTAAAAGTCTCAAACAAAGGTCTCAATTCCTATAAAGATCCTGATAATCCTGGGCGAATAGCACTTCCTAAACCTCGAAACCATGGAAAATTGGATAATAAACAAAATGTAGATTGGAATAAACTGATCAAAAGGGCATTTGAGGGTCTGGCAGAGTCCGGTGGCTCAACTTTGAAAAGTATTGAGCGCTTTTTGAAAGGTCAGAAGGATGTATCGGCATTATTTGGAGGCAGTACTGCCTCCAACTTTCACCAGCAGTTACGATTGGCTATCAAACGTGCCGTTGGTCATGGCAGACTCCTTAAAGATGGTCCTCTCTACCGGCTCAACACTAAAGCAGCCAATGCTGATGGGAAGGAGAGTTGTGAGTCTCTTTCCTGTTTACCTCCAGTATCACTGCTTCCACATGAAAAGGACAAGGTAAGAAAGGTATATGCACTGGTGTTCATAGGCCTGTGATGATTCACATTTCTTCATTCTGTGAAGTTATATAGAAGTTACATTCAAGGTTTACGTTTGGGACTTTGGTGGAGTGATCTGTTCTGGTTTCTTTTTCTTTTTTAGACAGGGGTCTTGCTGTGTAGTCCAGGCTGGCCTTGAACTCATGATAATCTGCCTGCCTCAGCCTCCTGATTGTTGGGATTACAGGTGTGCGCCACCACACCCAGCTTCTGGTTTCTTATTGATGAATTCTAGCTATAAGAATTTCATAGATGCTAATTGTTCAGGTACTTTGAAATATTTGAAGCTAAGATTAAAAAAAAAACCAATTAGATTAGAATTTAAGAGTGACATAGAACTTTAAAGTTTTAAGTTTTTAGGGTACCTTAGTGCTGGAAATTGATGAGCAGCCCTATGGTGGAGACTTGAATTTGAAAGAAGCAGATGACTAAAGACAGTCCCACCCCACTTTATTGCAGCTTATCATTAGACAGGAATGAGACAGATTCTCTTTTGCCTAAGATCATGAAGGCTTTTTCTAGGATGAGACAATTATAAAGTTAATATTGAGCATATTTAAAAATACTTTGAGATTTGATCTAACTTTATCTTAGTTGTTAACATCCCACTGAATAGCTACCTTTAGATTTTTGTTTAAATTACAGTTGAAAATTAACAGTATTTCTCTTGGGTGAACTTTTTAGAGATCTATTTTAGGGTTCAGTTTTTCCAGTGAGCTTTGGAATAAAAGCATATTGTTCAGCATCTCTAGTCTAGAAATCCAGAATGTTCTCAAATCTGAATCTTTTTTGAGTACAGGCAAATGCTGTGTGAAAGGAGTGTTGGATTTTAGACTTTCAGATGAGGGATGCTCAAGTAATAAAGTCTGTGCAAATACTCTAAAATCAAAAGAACTATGAAATCTGAAATACTTCATGTCCCAAGCATTTTGGATAAGGGATACTCAACCTGTGTTACCTTTAAACTGATTCTTATGAGTTGATAGAGAATCCCATTCAGAAAATATAGCATTTGTGCATTTTTAGTGTGTGTGTTAAAAATTCAAGATAGACAAGTAACTAAAGCGCTGTTTTGTAGTTTGTAACTGTAAGAAAGTTATCTGCAAGTTTTTTTTTTTTTTTGAGACAAGGTCTTACTATGTAGTGCAGGCTTGGCCTTGAACTCACTATGTAGCCCAGGCTGGCCTTGAACTTGTGGCAATCCTTCTGCCTCAGCCTAAGAATTGTTTCTTGATTATATGGCTGAAGTTAAATAAAATGACTCCATTTCTACAACTATAATCAAATAATCTAACAGGTTAACTGCATGGAAACAGGACAGTTATATTTTATAGCTAAATAATTTAGATTATAGTCAGTCAGTGCCTTTGCTATGAACTGGGTATTATAAATTCTGTTACAACACTTGGATATTTGCTTGTGTAATAATTTTTACATCTCCACCCCTACCACACTTCTGAGACAAGGGCTTGGTAAATTGTTCAGACTGGGTTTGAATTTGTGATCCTTCTGCATTAATTTCCTGGAAGGCAGGGATTACAGGCATGTGCCACAGAATGATAGGCATGCCCAGCAGAATTAGAAATTTTTTTATTTCTTTGCTACTGGGAGTTGAACCTAGGGTCTCAAACATGTGAATTACCATCTATACTACTGAGCTACATCTCTAGGTCCAGATATTTTAACACATATTAATTACATATAAAATGTCAGTTGTGCATATTTTTAAGAGGTAGTGAATTTGAGTACTGTCCAATACAGGGTAAGTGTAAATCGTAGAACCTTGGGCTTTTCTTTGGTAGGATCCTTGATAGCCATCTAACCTTACTATGTAGCTGAGTGGAGACCCTTGCTGAGGTCATTGCACAGCACCTTTCTATTAATGCAAGTTTAATGTAGGAGTGACCTGTTAGTTGGCTCTGGTTTTTACAAATATTTGTTTGGCTGCAGAGCTCTGTTGTGTAGTGTAGTGACTAAATTTGGAGCATACATTTGGGAAGATTAAGTTTCTTTGAGTAGACTGCTGTGTGTACCAATCTCATTGGAAAACTGCTTTCATGATAATATATATGAAATTAGAGTTGATGAGGTGTGTTCTGTATTTTTTAATGGAGTTTTATTTTTAGTACTGAATTTCCTGAGGGCCTTTCCTCAAAGGTGGAAAATCTGCGTTCAGAGCCATAATACTATGAACTCCAGTGTGAGGAATTAGTTCTCCTCTGAACAGATTATATCTGCTGTTTTACTGTATTTTAACTACTTGCTTTCCTCTTTTGAAACTCTTTTATCCAGAATTTATTGGCTTGCTGTTATGGCTTGAGGTAATTTCCGAAAAGAAAAAAAAGAAATTTGTGTATGTGTGTCCAGAATGTATTTGACAGTGATGAAGGTGTAACCAGCAGTAATTTCACTTTTAGGCATTAATTAGCTCAGCAAATAGTTTTGAGGGCCTACTGTGGGCCACACACTCTGCTTGGAACTGAGAAGGCTTTATCTTCTCTGGAATGCTAATATGTCTGTTGATCAAGGTAGCTGTATAGTAAGAGATGTAGTTCAAGGACTACTATATGTGGAAGGACGAGAGCAAGTTCCTCTTCACTTTTTACTGAATCAGTTCTATTTATTTTGTGCTATTAACCTTCAGAAGAAACTGTAAGATTTTCAGGAGACAGATAGTTTTTGTTCTTTTTTGGGGAGATTATTGTAGAAATATTTTTAAGTTTAGTGTGAAATCACTTGAACGATAGTGTGTTATTTTCACATTGAAAAATAGAATCCATGATTTAAAAGTCTTATCCATGTTGTAAGGGACATTTCTGAGCTAGCTTTAGGGTGTGATAGTTTACCGGTGAGTTTATTTACTTAATAAATGTTTGCTCTGTGTTAGGCATCACTTCAGTGCTGTGCAGTAGTCCCCTGGATCCACCAGGGATGTATTACAAGACCTTTAAAAGATATTTGAGACTGAAGGTAGTACCAAACCCTATACGGATGGTCCTTGACTTACTATAGTTTGATTTAGGATTTTTTTACCTTTTTCTTTTAGTACTGGGGGTTGAATTTAGGGCCTTTCTACTGAATTACAGTCTCAACCCTTTTAAATTTTTTTTTTTGAAATTGAGTCTTGTTAAGTTACCTGGCTGGTCTCAAATGTTTGATCCTCCTGTCTTGACCTCCCAGAGTGCTAGGATTGTAGCAGGTCTGTGTCACCGTGTCTGGCTGGATTTTTCTGCTTTTATGATGTTATGAAAGCATCATACATTCAGTAGAAATTGCTTTGAGTTTTGAAATTTGATCTTTTCCTGGGCTGTGGACTCTTGTGAAGCTGGACAGTGGTAGTGAGCTCCGACTCCCATTTAGCCAAGTGATCACATAGGAAAATAATACTCCAGAGTGTGGTGTGATGTCAGCCTATCATGGTCAGTAGGTATATTAAATGTGTTTTTAATTTATGACGTTTAAATTTACCATGGGTTGATCTGGAAGTAATCATCTTGTAGCTGGAGGAGTATTTGTATATACGGTACTATTTTTTTTTTTTTCTATACATACTTGCATATGATAACATTTGAATTAGGCCTGGGATATAGCTCAGTGGCACGGTGCCTGCCTGGCAAGTGTGAGGTCCTGAGTTCAATTTCCGTGACCACAAAAACAAAACAAAATTTGAGTTATAAATTAGGCATAGTAAGAGATTAATAACAATAAATAATAATCAAGTAGAATAATTATAATGATATACTAGAATAGTTATTTAAAATGTATAGATTGTTTAGTTTTGGAATTTCTCATTTAATATTTTTGTATTGTGATTGATGGTGAGATAGCTGAAACTGTATAGTGTAAAACAATGGGTAATGGGGGACTACTGTACATATCTTAACTCACTCATATAACTAACACTGATGTGTATCAACAATGAGGTGTAGGTCCTGTTATTTTATAGGTGAGCCATAAGAGATTCAGTACCTTGCCCAAGTCACACTAATATATCCCATCAGAGTTAAGATTTGAATCTTGGCAGTATGGTTCCAAAGTCTGTTACACCTACATGACCACATCTTGGGTGTTGTAATGTGTAATGCTTATCACTGTAGTCAGGTACAGAGTTGTGAATGTCTTTTGTGCTTAACATCATAGCACATTCTCTAATTTTTTTTTTTTTTAAGATAATTTCTATGACCAGGCCTGGTGGTGCACACCTGTAATCTGGGAGGGTGAGGCTGGAGGTTCCTAAGTTTGAGCCCAGCCTTTGCAATTTGGTGACTTAGGTGAGACCCTTTTTCAAAATAAAATATTTAAAAAGGGGTGGTATACAGTTCAGTGCATAGACCTTGGGTTCAATTCCGAGTATTACAACAAAATTTTTTCTATATGTATTAATCTTTGTTTTGACTGTCAATAAAGTTTTTTGATTTGCAGTTTAGGGATTGATAATAAGGTACCTTAATTATCAGAAAGCAAAATGTTGCTTTCTTTGAATTGTAGGATGTAGGTGAGGAGGAAAGCTATAAATTATAAATTGCTTGCTTTCTTTGCTTTTGTTTTTTCAAACAAGGTCTTGATATGCAGCTCAAATTGACTTTGCTTCCCCCTTGGTACCCCAGGCTGGCCTTGAACTCTCACAATCCTCCTGCCTCAGGCTCCTGAGTGCTGTAGTTAATGGCACTCACCTCTACACCCACCTTCAAATTGCTTTCTTTTTGGAATGTAGATATAAATGTAAGATGATTTGTTCATTTATTTCATTTATTGTTCACTCAGCAAACATTTGAATGCTTACCAAAAACAGTACATTTAAACTTTACATCCTATGAGGCCCTAAGGCAGACAGAAAGTGCATCTTTGGGTGAACCCTTTTTATAATAATCATCATTTTAAAATACCAGTTAGTCATTGTTAATTTTTGAGAAATAATTAGAGATATCTTTGATGAAGCTTAATATTACTTGAGATTGT